CTCCTCCTTGCTCCAGCCTTGTTCACGTTCCATTTATCCCATGACCACTGCAAGTGGGTTTTTCTGAGTTTCAAGCCTTTTTCTCACCAGACTCTGCATGGGGGGCAACCTCAAGTCTGACTCTTCTCTCAGAGGTTTGGCCTCACCACATTCAGGAGATTTCAGTCTAGTGCCTGGATTCTGTTCTTCCCAGTTGGGTCCCTTGGGCACTCCATTTTGCTCTTGCAAACAGATCAAGAATTCTTTCCACTGAGACCTTCTCAGAAGTCCCACCCCACCCCACCCCCACCCCTGCAAGAGTTTCCCCGGTGCTTTCCTGATGCCTCAAGGCATGAAAGTTGTAAAGGTGGGGGGATGGGGGCGGGAGTGTTACACTCTGGCAGCAAAATCACCATTTCCAACATCCCCATCTGGAAGAAAGGCAGGGCAGGCAGCGAAAGGGTATGGGAGGATGGAGGTTACAGGAGACCCCTCTCAACAGCTCCTGCCCTGAGGTTGGGAGAGCCTTGAGAGGTTGGCGCTGAGCTGCAAAAGTAACCCAACTTTCCCTTCCCTCCTGTGGTCTTGTGTCTGACAGGTCTTCTGTCTGGTAGCGGCAATCGTGTGCCTCATCGATGCATTGGTGGTCACCAAGGAGATGAGGACTGCCATGAAAAAGGCTGCCAAAGTCAAATTCGTGCTTCCCAAAGCCCAGAAACCCACGCCCCAAGCGAGCTGAAGGTCGTGCCAGCACCTTCGCGGATCCACCCGTTTGTGTCTGTGTGTAACCACTCCCTCGGTGCTACTCCAGAGCTCACACACTGTCATCCAATCCGGCCTCCATGTGAACATAAAATCAGGACTGCTAAGTCGGAGGCACTTCTGCCTCTTCGTGTTGCCTTGTGTGAAAGTCCTGTGCACGGTATTGCGCCGGCGGAGCCCCCAGCCCCGGAGGCTGCGGGGAGGGGCGTGGCCCCAGGGTTCCTGCCTACCAGGGCCCCTAGGCACCAGCGAGCGGCGCCCACAGACCTGGGGCTGCCTGGCAAAGTCTCGCTAGGAGGAAAGTTCCTCCCTGAAGTGGGACCCAGTGGAGGCTCCTGCGTGGAGGGTGGGCGGATGCGGCCGCCGCCGAGTGGGTGCGACCTGTGCAGGGCCACGCGGTGAGGCAGGCGGGCGCGCGCGGAGAGGGCGCAGGCGTTGGTTTTCGCTGATGAAGGCAGTTAGCTAAGCTGGGGGCGCCCTGAGAGGTCAGTAGCACCAGACTCTCCAACAGGTCCGACCTGGCCACGGACTGCAGGAGAGGTTAGCAGGCCGCGAGAAGGCGAGGGCCCCCTGCCAAAGATGGCTGATAAAGCCAAGAAGCCAGAGCCCGCGGATGAAGTGGGCACCAGGACCGGATTTACCCGCTACAAATGGGAATTGAAAAGGAGCAACAAAGAGTTCTGGCGCTCAGGGCACGCAGTGGTCAAGTTAATAAGTGTGGTGAGACAGACCGTGGTTCTAAGATCAGGGATGGGGAGGAGGAAGAGCTGGCTGCTGGGGTCCTCGCAGGGGCTCGGGAGTCAGGGACAGCCCTCTGCAGCTGCTCATGTATATTTTTTCCACGCAGATCTGCCTGTTCATAGCACTGGCGTACTTCAACGTAGCCACGGCGCATCCTGCCTTGACTCTCATCATCACCTTGGAGGTGTTCATCTTTTTCTTCTTCATTATCATATACACCTTTGCCATCCAAAGATACCTGGTTTTCATCTTGTGGCCAGTTTCTGTAAGTGAGGGACAGTGGGAAAGGCCGGGTTGGTGTGCCCTTCCTATGTCTTTTTTAGCAACTGGAAAGTGACTGAAGAGAACAGCCTCACTTCGCTTGCTCCTGCTCAGGACCTAGATGCGGTCCAGGCAGGGGCAGCTAGGCAGGTGGGGGAAAGCTAGGCAGAAAATGCTCCCCCCAACCAAGCTGTGTGTGTTGGGGTGGGTGGTGTAGGGAGGGGACTCTTATTGCCAGTCAAAAGCTTCACTGTTTTTGAAGGAAGCAAAGATGTAACAACCAGCTCTTCCTCCTAACGCGTTTGCTGGCATACACTGGGAAGATCATTGCAGAATTCAAAGAATAAAATCAACCAACTTGTAAGTTAATAAGATAAAATGAGAATTTCTTTAAAATATCACTTCTAAAGCAGCCTTACACCTCCTGTGAGTATTCCCATGAAGGATGTTTAGTTCAGAAGGCTGTGAGCCCAAAGCAGTCCCCTAACTGCTGGGCATCTACTCAGCCTGTTTCCTCATCTATAACATGAAGACAATAATAATCCTTGTGGGACGGGTGTGGCAGCACACACCTGTAATCCCAGGAACTTGGGAGGCAGAGGCAGGAGGATCACAAGTTCAAGGCCCATCTCATTCATAAATAAATAGGCTGAGGATGTAGCTCAGTGGTAGAGCAAAGAGCACCCCTGGATTCAATCCCCAGTACCACCAAATAAATAAATGAACCTGCCAAAAAGTAAGTGACTTACGTAAACATTATAAAATTTTTATTAATGCATCATCAAAGATAAACCTAGATAAATGGAGAAATACATCACATTCACAGGTGTGAAGAGTTGCTATCATAGAGATGACAATTCAATTCAGAACTTAATAGGAATTTTCATGGAACTTTACCAGGCAATTCTAAAACTCTTAGGGAGGAATTAAAAGAATTATAAGGGATGGATTTGCCCAACAAGACCTCAGATTTCCTAGCTCAGGGACTGATAAAAAAATCTAATAGGATTGTTAGAGCCCAAATTTTTGTGTCCTCTCCAAATTCATATGCCAAGGACCAAGGACCTAATTCCTAGTGTGGCTATACTTCGAGATGGGGCCTCTAAGGAAGTAATTAAGATTAAAAGTGATAAGGTAGGGACCCTGGTCCCATAGGATTCATATACTTGTAAGTAGAGACATCAGATTGATATCTCTCTCTCTCTCTCTCTCCATCTCCATGCACACACATTTAGTGAAGAAAGGTTATATGAAGACATAGGGAAAAAGTCATCTCCAGCCAGAAAGAGCCTTTGCCAGAAACCAATTTTAGCACCTTAATCAGGGACTTCTAGCCTCTAGAGCTATAAGAAAATAAATGTCTGCTTTTTAAGCCACCCAGTCTGTGGTATTTTCTTATGGCAGCCTGAGCAGAGTAATATAGAAATAGAAAAGAGAACTTAGACTCCATTATATGGTGGCTTGATATGTGACAGAGGTGGCATTACAAAACTGTTGAACAGAATAGTCATCAAGTTTCCTGGGAGTACTGCAGGAGAGAGGAAGAGAGAGGGACAGACTATGTATCCCTTAAAATTAAAACTTTACAACAGAAGACATAAAAATTTTAAAACAAACCATATACAAATAGAATAGGACAAGGGATGTGAAGAGGAGGTCCACATACCTAAAACCTGTGTTTTTTTAATATTATTTTAATATTCATTAGTGACCAAAGGCATCAAAATTAAAATAGCATGGAGGCACCATTTCAATTTATCAGATTGGCAAATATATTAATAATCCAGATGATCCTCGGTGTTGGAAAGGACATGGGAGACAGGAGCTGTTACTCATGGCTGGTGCAAGTGTAAATGCCACTAGCACTTCAGAGACAAAGCTTGGTAAAACCTAGCTAAGGAGGTTGGCAAGGGTAGGTGGGGTGCACAGACAAGGGGGATTATCATTGCAGCAGAGTTTGGAAGAAGGATTTTTTTAAAAGGTAGAAACAAACTCTCTATTGGTTCATTCCTACAGTAAACTACATCAGCTGACAGTGATAAATATGTTTCTCAATATGGTTGAATCTTAAAAACTTTAAAAAGCAAGTGTCGGCTGGGCATGGTAATCCCAGCAGTTCAAGAGGCTGAGGTAGGAGGATTGTGAGTTCAAAGCCAGCCTCAGCAATGGCAGGATACTAAACAACTCAGTGAGACCCTGTCTCTAAATACAATACAAAATAGGGCTGGGGATGTGGCTCAGTGGTTGAGTGCCCCTGAGTTAATCCTCAGTAACAAAAATAATTAAATAAAAAACAAGTGTCAGAAAATATGCTACCTTTATTTAAACTTTTGAAACACAAAATATATTGTTTATGAATATATAATATGTAGGAATATTCAAACTCAGGAAAAGTGCATATCAGTTTCTGGGAGACGGAGGGACAGGAAGAGGGATGGGAGGATGAGGTGGTAGCTCATTCTGTAAAGTTAAGGTCTCTTCCGTGTTTTAATTTAAGAGATCGTGAAGCAAATATTGCAAGATGTTAATATCTATGAAATTTCAGGGCTTGGTGATCTGGTGGAGGTGGGATGTTGTATTATTTTCTATGCATTTGAAATGTTTCAAATTCAAAACAAAAGACCTGAGATGTGTGGTGGCCAGGAAAGGACAACCAGCAAAAGATGGCATGATGGAAACCCAGGGGGAAGTGGTGTAGCCAAACATTGCAGGATTGGCAGCCTCTCATGGGCAAGCACGTTTTTGTCCCAGGCTCTCATCCCAGGAGCATTAGAAGGGGAGGCTGGTCTGAAAATGGTCATCATTTGGCCAACTCAAAGAAGCTTTATTAGTAGGGCCAGGGAGGCAAGAAGATGGCAAGGGCAAGACTGAAGCTGCAGGAATGGAGGGAAAGGTCTACAAAGGAGGCAGCCTTCCTGCCTTAAAGAGGGCAGGGGATATAGGAAGAAAGGCAGGGGCAGGGCTGAAGAGGGAGCTTCCAGGCTCCCAGTGAGGGGCCTCCTGCTAGCAATGCAGCTCACCCCTGCTCCAGAGTGCAGGCCCTGAGAGCAGAAAGAGCACGCCAGGCAGTCCTCAGAAGGAACACCAGGAAGTTGTATGTGTGGTGGGGGGACCAGATGTGTGATTTTATAGAGGAGATGGCTGGTGGCAGTTGTGTGTCTCCCCAGGCTCTAGCCCAGGGCAGTTAAGCCTGGACTTTGAATCCCCTATTTAAAGACCCCAGCTGGGAGGCACTGGTATGTCCACCTAGCCTGGGCCACACATACCTTTTAATATGTTATATATAGGTTTTAAAAATCAGGAGTTTGAAAAACAGGAAGCTCTGCTGGGTCAGCTGCTGCTGGGGATTGGCCCTTCAGAGCTGACTGACTCTCTCTCCCACTCTCAGGACCTCCTCAACGACCTGTGCTGCTTCGGGTTCCTTGTGGGCGGCATATTCTTTGCTGTAAACAGTCGAGAAACAATGCCAGTGGAGTACGTCGTTGGTGTGGTGAGTCTTGAGTGATTGGGGTGTTTTCCTTATTTAAGGAAAGAGCTCATTTTCACACACACACACACACAAAAATGATTGAGATGAAAGCCAAGTTTAAAACTAACATTGGTAAATATTTCCAGTGAAAAAGCCATTTGGTTAATGATGCTCAGGGAGCTGACCCAAGTTAATGGCTTCCTTCTTGAAGCTGCTGACCCCAAAGCAAATGGTCCCATCTGGTTGGTTCTAATACTTTTTTTTTTTTTTGTATTGGGGATTGAACTCAGGGAAACTCGACCACTGAGCCACATCCCCAGCCCTATCTTGTATTTTATTGAGAGACAGGGTCTCACTGAGTTGCTTAGCACCTGGCTTTTGCTGAGGCTGGCTTTGAACTTGTGATCCTCCTGCCTCAGCCTCCTGAGCAGCTGGGATTACAGGCCCGCACCACCACCTAGCCTGGTTGGTTCTAAAGAGAAAAAGAGACTTAAGGACAGGGGAGGGGGAGGATTGAACTCATCAGTGTGGAAGTTTGAGTGGACAAGGGGGTATGTTAACTGGCATCAGTGGATGAATTACAAAACAGGATGTTTTTTTTGCAATGTTCTGAGGATCCTTTTGTTTTCCAGGCCCTCATGGGTGTGGCAGCACTGTTTGCTTTTATCGATTTATGTCTTCAAAGAAAACACTTTGGCAAGAAGGGCCCTCCAGCTGCTCCTCCACCAGCGTCATGAAGGAGATTCCCGTTTCAGAAATGGAAGTGTATTTTACAGCAAAACACTTGGACTGTCTTCCTGGTCTGCTTTCTAGAATGGTTTTCTTTTCCATTTTAACAACCTCCTCTTCTTGGAAAAGAATTTTCTCCTTAAATGAATTTTAAAACTCGAAGTTGATGTAAACATTCTTTGGTTCACTTAACAAAAAGTTACTGGACGTTATGGTACAGAGGGAGAGACCTGAGACGCAGGGCTCCCTGGGATCACTCTTGGGCCAAGGCACAGAGAGTTTAGGGGACCAGATACACCAGTGACACTGGTGTTTGTCAACACTGACCAGCCAAAGGGGCCAGAGGAAAATAAGAGATTGGAAAACAAACGAATGCATACATTTTGTTCACATTAATATTCTCATTTTATATTTTTTTAAAGCATCCAAGTGGTCATTGTGAGAAAAATAAGTTTGTTGGACTTCCTTGCTCTTACATTGGCATTTAATGCTGATCCTCATTTGAAGTTCACTAAAGAGGGGTTGGGGGGAATGTCATCATCACCTCAGGGCCTAAACTGGGCTGGAAATATGGGCTGAACTTGGGCATGAAGGGGACACTGGGGGTACTTCACTCAGAGATGACCAGCTACTTTTCTGGGACCTTGGGACCTGAGTCAGACTCCAGCTAAACCCTGAAGCCACAGTCTCCACCAAGACCCCTGTTTTAGTTAGCTTTTTCACTGTTGTGACTAAAGGACACAACCAGGACAACTGTAGAGGAGGTAAAGTTTGAGGGCTCACAGTTGTAGAGGTCTTGGTCCATAGAAGGCTGGCTCCATTCCTCCAGACTCAAGGTCTTGAGACAGAACATCATGGCATAAGAGTACGGCAGGGGAAAGCAGCTCATATGATGATCAGAAGCAGAGAGACTTCACTCTCCAGATACAAAATATACACCCCATGGCCACGCCCCCAATGAACCACTTCCTCCAGCCACACCCCAACCTGTATCCAGTTCCCACTAAGTTAATCCCTTCAGGGATGAATTCAGTGACTAGGTTGAGGCTCTAACCTAATCATTTCTCCTCCAAACCTTCTTGCATTGTCTCATGTATGAGCTTTTGCAGGACACCTCATACCCAAACCGTAACAGTCTCCCAGGCCTCCCCACCAGGATCCTGCTCTCACTGGACAGACCAGCCATCCTGGCTTGAGAAGGGCCATTCTCATGAAAAGAAAGTAAGCCTCCAAATGGATGCCTGAGGAAAGGGGTTTCTTGGAGCCCTAAGCCCAGACAGGGACAAAGTGGGAGAGAGGTTGGGAGGAGGGTAGGCTGGGCCTTGGGGGCCAAATAAATGACTTGGGCCTTTATCCCAAGTGGCTTGGCACTCCATGAAGATGAGGGAGTGACAGGGTCCACTTTTCTCCAGGAGAGAACCAGACTTGGTTGCTGCTGCAGAGTAGGTACAAACTGGAAGGAGGCTGCAGCTTGTGCAGGTCAGGGAGACGGGCAGCTGGGACAGTGTGAAGACCTGAAATGTGGAGGACTCAGGCCGGCTCCTCCACCCCACCTGTCCACTACTCCCTCCTCTGTGCTCCCAAACCACTCTGTGCAGGCTGCAGGCAGTGTGAAAGCAACTAGAGGGAGCCCCATGATAGGAAGAAAAGAAAGGAAAAAAAAAAAAAAAAACCCACTACCCTGCCATGTAACCCAGAATTCCTAAGAATTTAGCCAAGAGGAATGGTACTGGATAAGATGATAGGATAGATAGTAAATAGACAATAGAAGAACGGGATTCCATTAAGGTTTCTCTAAAGCCATCTGTGAAATTAATCTATAGAAGGAAACCAAACATTCCAACCAACTCTTTCATCCAGGGATAGTGGGGAAAGGGAGGCAAGACAGACCTGAGTATAGGCTACAGACTCAAGGGCTAATCAGTAGTCTTGGTACTTTTCCAATTCCTGATTAGCATAACCAATCGATGCCTATACCCAGTAGCTATGTAAGCCTCTAGATTAGTACCCTTAAGAGGTGATTCCTAGTGGGTCCCCCCTTGCCCTCCAGGAGGTATATCTGTCCTCACTTGAACAAATCTTTTACACTCACTTTTCCTTGTCCATGGATTTCACTGTTCAAATTCACAAGACAAGAACCCAGAAAGAAATTATGGGTGAGCTGCTAGGGCATTCTGCAATACTGGGGGACACAGCTTGCCACTGAGAGCTGCTAATCCGAATGGGCTTTCTCAGCTGCAGAATCCTATAACTTACACAGATCCTATCCACTGGCAGAAGCAGAGAATCTGATTTTGTCTTAAACTCCAGTTTCAATATACTGGAATGTTCCTAACAGCCAAAAAACTAGACAGATAAACTGTGCTGTTGTGGAAATCACGTTCAGCAAGAGATCAAGCACCACTCAGGGTTGAAGAACTCAGATTAGTTATGCCAGTGGACCCAAATTAGCTAGTGCTCTGAAATTCTGGACCCTGAGCTGAGGTAACATGGGACTTTTATAAGAAATGTGACTTCATTTCTTAGGTATTACAACATTGGTGGGTTTGAATTCTTGGCCTATGTGACCAAAGACCATGCACAGGAATTCTCTCGATAAGCAGTTCACTAATGCAGGACAAAGGCAGAGAAACACCTGCGAGTGATATCACAAAGTGGCCTTCACTACAGGCAGCAGTTTCCCAAGATAACTGTAAGCTTACATCTCTAATATCTATCTATCTATCTAAAAAACCTAGCATAGAAATGTTACAATTTAAACAAGTATTTAAAGGACACTCTTAGAGACCAGTAATTAAATAACACTCTTACAAAGAGTGCTATAAAGTAATATTCCCCTCCTCAGTGGTACTGTGCCACTATAGCTTATTTTATTTTTTTTTATTGGTTGTTCAAAACATTACAAAGCTCTTGACATATCATATTTCATATATTTGATTCAAGTGGGTTATGAACTCCCATTTTTACCCCGTATACAGAATGCAGAATCACATCGGTTACACATCCACGTTTTTACATATTGCCATACTAGTGACTGTTGTATTCTGCTATCTTTCCTAACCTCTACTATTCCCCCTCCCCTCCCCTTATAGCTTATTTTAAAACTGATACTTTTCCCCTTCCTCTTCTCCCTTTCCTCTAATCCTGGGGGGTGGGGAGCAAGAATAGCTTCCTTCCCATCTCAGGAGGAGTTATCTGTCCTTTGGCTCACACAGGAAAGAAGTCAAGACTTCAGAGTTGACTATTAAAAATACATTGGCTGTGTTTGTAACCGTTAAGTCTTTGAACACCCACATGCTTTGCTTTCGCTTCTACCAGGTAAATAGCATGAGTAAAATGGCTGGGTCACACAGTAAGCCAATATTAAACTTTTTAAGAAATGGCCAAACTTTTCCAAAGCAGTGATAATAATTGACAACCCCTATCCCCAGTATAGGAGAGTTCCAGTGACTCTACATCCTCACCTGTACTTAATAATGCTCCCCCATTTTAAGGTATTTTAATAGATATATAGTAGTATCTCACTGCAGTCTTAATTTGCATACCTAGATGTCTAATGAGGCTGAGCATATTTGCACTTTATTGAATATTCATATACCTTCTTTGGTGAAATATCTGTTCAAATATTTAAAAAACCTTAAAAAATTGGGTTCTTACCTTCTTATGACTGAGATACAGTCAGAGCCATATTTTTAATAACAAATCAGAACAGGGTTCTGCTCTTTTAGGACTCCCACCTGGCCTCTTGCCTAGGGAATTGTAAATAAAATCCAAACACCAGGTTCTCCTCAACCCCAACCTGCCCCTTCTCTGCTCAGTTTCCTCTTCAGTCCTTTCTTTGATATTACCGGCCTGGCTGTCCTCTGAGCCAGTAGACGCCTATTACCAGGAATCATCTTATTTGGAATTCTTTGACTACTTAGGACTCTTTGCTCCCCTGTAACTCCCCAAACAGTAGAGTTTCTCCACAGTCTGGGCTTCCAGCACTGCTATTAAATGAACAGATGAATGTTGAGAAAGACTTCTCTGAGGAAATGACACTGCATTATGGTCCCTGAGGAATAAGAATTTAATCAGATAAAAAAAAAAAGTTGAGAAAGAGCATTCCAGGTAGAAGAGAGAGCATGAACAAAGGCCCTGTGACAGGAAGGAGCATGGTTTGTTAAACAAACTATAAGAAGGTCAATGGTTGGGAGAGAGGAGGGAGGAAAGAGCCACAGGGGCGTTTATCTTGTGTACACCAAATCCTGAGCAAGATGGGAAGTTGCCCAGATTGGGTTTGGTTTGGTTTGGTTTGGTTTGGTTTCGGGGAGGGTGGTGGTGGTGCTAGTGACTGTGATTGGTGATTTAATCATCCTTCTGGCTGCCAAAGGAGGAAGGCAAGATGCTTTTTAAAGAGCAACCACAATTCAGGAAGAAAGGAGCAGTAAGAAATGGACCGAAGGAGGCGCTGAGGTCAGCACCTCCAATCCCAGTGACTTGGAAGGAATGTCGGAAGTTCCAGGCCAGATTCTGCAATTTACTGAGACCCTGTCTCAAAAATTTAATTGAAAAAAAAAAAAAAAAAAAAAAAAAGG